TCTCTCTCTCAGTCTCCCTCCCGGTGCATTGCGGCGGTCGCGTCATGCGATGCCTCGTGCGGTTACGTCCGATGATGGCATTTTATTACGTCCAGTCGAGGATGGCGGCGGGTGGAGCGGGGTGGGGCGGGATTAGAGAAAGTCGACGAGAAATCCTCTACCGTTTTGCGGCTGAAACAGTTGATACCGATAATGACAGTCTTCTGAGAGGAGCCCGTGCTCGCGAGTCTGACAACAGTCTCGCGGTCAACTAATAACAGCCGTTCCTCCTATTTTTAATACAACTGCTACTCTTTTTCCCGCGCAGCTGGTCGAGTCCGTGTTCCCGGCGCTGACCGGCGGCTGGTTCACCATGTTCATGGCCGTCTTCAGCTACATCGCCGACGTGACGGAGGAGGACTCGCGCACCCTCCGGATCGGCATCGTCAACGTCTTCTGCTCGCTGGGCATCCCCGTCGGCATGGCGCTCTCCGGCGTGCTCTACAAGCGCATCGGGTATGTAATACTTATTAAATGTGGATAGGTAATACAAACATTGAATGTTGTAAACTGAGAAAAGCGATTTCATTTTCCAGAAAATTGCTCTTTGTAAAAATTTTCAACATTTTTGGAGAACTTTTTCTAAACACTTAATTTTTTTCAAATTTTTCTAGAAATTTTTCATTTTTCTCCATCTTTTCTGAAAAGTTTCTTCCACTGCACTCTAATTTTTTCAAAAAAAAAATATGACAACATTAAAATAACCTATATTTGCGTGTCCGCAGCTTCTACGGCGTCTTCTCGCTGTCGGCCGTCATGTACCTCTTCAGCTTCTGGTACGGCTACGTCATGATCAAGGAGACGCCGCGGCCGCGCAAGGAGCTGGAGCTGGTGAAGATGGAGAAGGAGGCGGCGGCCCCGGACGCGGCGGGGACGGCGACGACGCGCTGCTGCTCGGCGCCGCGCCGCCTCCTCGACTTCCTGCGCGACTTCTTCGACATGCGCCACATCCAGGAGACGTTCCGCGTCGCCTTCAAGAAGGGCGAGAACATGCGCCGCAAGCGCGTCATCCTGCTCATGGTCGTCGTCATGGTGGTCATCGGGCCCATGCACGGTGAGGCATGATATTTTTACTCATGGCTACACAAAAATAAAATGGGGAACGCCCGTGACATTTTTACCCCGGGGTATACTACTACGAACTCACGTGGTTATCGTGGACCTGACGGTATTGCCACCCCCAACGGACACGTTGTTTCTGCACGGTCCTAGTTTGTGCCCGGGCCCCTGGCGGTCCCCCGAGCCCCGAGCCCTGCGCGGCGCGTGGCCGCGGCCGCGACGCCGCGGTCCTGGTCCGCTAGGCCCTCTGATGCGCCGCCCCGGCCGCGCCGCGCCACGCCGCCGCGGAAGAGCATAGAGCACGGTAGTGGCGGCGGTGGTGGACACTTTGGCCTGGATGGTTGTGCCCTTGAGACCACTCACCGACCGTCACATCCGCGCTCCCCCCCCCCCTTCCTCTCTCCAGCCGCGCTCTAGCCCATCATTCAAATCCCTTCCTCTATATCCCCCCCCCCCCCACACACACACATCTCCGCGCCCGTCCAGCCGCTGCCCGCTGCTCGCAGTCAGTTTCTATTCGACCTAAAATTGTACGACCTCGGAAGAAACAACGATAAGGGGGGGGGGGGGTCTCCGGGAAACAATCACATTGGGAGAGAGAGAGAGAGCGAGAGAGCTATGTGCTAGAATAACAGCTGATCAGGCCGGTGTTGCTTTTCCAGGCGAGATGACCGTCATGTACCTGTTCACACGGCTGAGGTTCAACTGGAACGAGGTGGACTTCAGCCTGTTCTCGTCCTATGGCATGGTGACCAACCTCATCGGTGAGTTGACGTTACAACAAGCGTCTCGCCCGTTCATTGTGCACACGATTTTTACAACGCTCGTCATATTCTCCAGGAACCATTATTTCCGTGGGGCTGTTCAGCCACATCCTCGGCGTGGACGACGCCCTCATCGGCATCATGTCGTGCATGTCCAAGATCCTGAGCGGGTTCGTCTACGCCTTCGCCACCACCACGTTGGGCATTTATCTCGGTAAGCAAACACTTATAAATAAGTTGAAAAGAAATTGTATTCTGACATGAGTCGTTTTTCGTTCATGCGTTTATTCGATTTAACTTTTTTGTCTTACAGCGCCGTTGGTCGACATGGTCAACGGCACGTCGTTCATCTCCATGAGGTCCATCGCGTCCAAGCTGGTGCCGCCTGATGAACTCGGTAGGTTATTTCACGAAATCAAACATCACAATTATCCCTCATAAAACTTAAAAAAAAAAGGCACGAATGCAACTTTGATACCACGTTCCCACTTGCCGTCTGTCCGCAGGCAAGATCAACTCTCTGGTCGGCGTCTGCGAGGCGCTCATGCCCCTGGTGTACGGGCCCATGTACTCCGCCGTGTACCAGGCCACGCTCAACACGGTGCCGGGCGCCTTCTTCCTCCTGGGGGGCGCCCTCACCGCGCCCGCCGTCGTCATCTTCGGGTGAGTCGAGTACTTGGATACTTTTCTCGCAACCCGTAAGACTTTTAAGGGTTATTTTGGGATACTTTCTTCACGAAACTGACCTTCCGAGTTTCGAATACTTTTTACGCAAAACGTACCTTTTCAGGGGGTCAGGTGAATTTGCGATACTTCTCTCATGACCCACAGTTTTGAGATACTTCAGAAACCGTGCCTCTTGTTTTGGATTAGATTACTTTACTTTACTTTTACAGCCAGTACACTTTTTTTTTGGGGGGGGGGGGGGGCTTTTTTTCAACCCGTAATTATTCTTTAGGGATTTGGGGTACTTATTTTACGACACTCTTTTTGAGTAATTGGGTTGATTTAATGAACCTACTTAATGCCCCACCTGAGGGAAGTTTTACCCACGGGGATACATTTTTCATGGATACGTTTTTTGTTGTTTTTTTTTCAGGTGGATGTACACGGTGCACCGCAAGGAGCGCCTGGCCGGGCGGGAGAAGGACGCGGCCGCCAAGGACGCCGAGGGCTGCGTCAACATGGGCTTCGAGCAGGACGGCGGCGGCGGCAAGGAGCAGCAGCGCGTCACCACGGCCGACGTGTTCCTCAGGGCGTCCTGGAGGGAGAAGCGCAACTCGGGCAACAACAACTCGTCGTGCCTGGAGCACCTGTCGGAGCACCTCGCCCCGCTGCCCGCCTCGCTCGAGGTGCCCAAGCTGCCCAAGTAGAGAGGGTCGCGCGGACACGGTCGCGAGCACGCCGACGACGACGCGACGGTCTCGGTGCGACGCCGCCGCCCCGCCCCACCGGACGGCCGGGTCATGCCGTCCGGGGTGGGACTGCTGCCTGCACTGCGCCGGCGGCGGCGAAAATACGGGTACTTCCACCAGATGGCGGCGGAGGCAGCAGTCGCCGCGCCTGTGGTCGCGCAGGGTAGCAATCTCAGGGCGAAGGTGCATCTTTCGAATGTGAATGTGAATGATCATTGGCGGTCTCGTCGAGTTGTGACATCACCATTACCCCGGAATGCACCACTGCGGCTGCAGCCCCCCCCCCCACCACCACCAACTGGATTTGGCATTGACACGTCAATGATTTGCGGCCGAGTGCCAAGGGAAGGGATTGACACGATAAATATTGCGGCTTCTCGTTTTTGAATTGACAGAATGCCGAAATCAACGCTGTGATAATTTTGTGAGAGAAAAAAAAAGAAAAACGCTGGTGCCCGGCTTGCTGCTTTGAAGCTGTGGAACTTTATCTTGTCGAGAGAATCAGTCTCCTCAGTTTGAAAAAGAATTATTAATTTGTTTTAGTAGGTGTTCCTCCGTCCATGCGATGTCCCACGAAATGGGAGTAGGATTTCTGGCCACTATGAAATTCGTGGCCAAAAAATGATGCGCATTTTGTCTGATGACTTCAGAGAAATATCTGAACAGCATGTCTTATCCTCTCGGCCAAATTTCTACGAAAATGGCTGGAGATGGGTTCAGACCACCAAATCATGTTCACTGGGTAACGATCTTTTCAATTCATAGGCCAAGCGTGCAGTTGAAAGCTTTGCGTGCATTGAACATAATGTGATAGTAGGTTAGAATGTGTAATGTAACTGGGTGAAACGCTACGCTCTATACGATGTATGGTTATCGCTTGTCGCGTATTTTCTTTTTGTGATCTTGCCGTATTATAGTTATCCTACCATCAGTAATATTGAAATCCATTCGTCCCAAACCTCCTCTTTTCGGACGATGGCTAAATATTCTTGTTGTACATAGAGTGCATTTTAAATTTGTGGCTTAAAACAAGGACATAATGTTAAAATTTTGTACATTTTGTATATTTTGTATATCTTGACACTTTCAGTGATAAGACATTGTAATGTTTGGGGGGTCATTCCCTCTACGTTGTATATAGCGAATAAATCGACAAAGCTATGGCGCCTAATACTTGTCAGCATTATCTAATCTCTTTCTCCTCGATCAAAAATTTGAAAACCCCACAAAATCCCCCATGACTAGACAGTGCGTTCACAGCAACGCGAAAGTGGCTCATTTTGTGCAAACGCGCCAGGGAAAGAAAGACCACAACAAATGTTTTCACTTGAAACAGTGTTGCGGCAGCAGTGGCGCATACAGAGTCGGATGGTTTGCCTACCGATCGGGCGCGACCACCGCCTCCGGTGCGCCTGTGAGCTTAACCATAGGCAACCCATCTAGCTCGATGAGCGGCCAAAAGAGAGTCTCGAGGCTGACTATACACGCTCCACAAGTTCAACAAAGGGCTAACACGAACGGTTAGGTAAGTTAAGTTAAACGCCGTGATCAGACTCCAAAGGAGTCGGACCTGACACGCAAAAGTACACAACTATAGCACTAACTTTGTTATTATCATACACAGCACGGGGAAGCCCCACCTATGAGTTAAGAGTTAAAATTACGAATAAGATAATGTACTCCATGCTTAAAAAGGATGCAATGGAATAGAATTAAACACTATTACTAACTTTTAGAAACTAGGATTACAAGAGTAATTCACATGAACCGTGAACGAGATGGCGAGAACTACGAAAACGTCGTGTCGGAGACAGCTCCCCGAACGAAAAATGCACACAAGCAGTAGGTTAATCAGCCACCTTTGTCATGGCAGAACACATTATTTTTTAGCAATATATCCTCCACTACGATATTGGCACACTTTTGGGACGTAAATATCAAACGCCAAAAAGTAAAATTATATGAACGTAAAGGAAACACATGTTCGAAACGTTACACTTAGGCACACACACACAAGCACACATAAGAACACACACACACACACAGACACACACGCACGCACGCACACAGAGGTCAGAGGTCGAGGTACATGACCCGGGTCGCGGCGATGGCTCCGCAGAACGCGAGCGACGAGGCGACGGCCACGACGGTGACGGTGGAGCCCACGATGCTGATGAGCGTGCCCATGCACACGGAGAGGGCAAACTGCGCCAGGAACACCATCGAGCTGACGATGGCCACGTCCGTGCCGAGCCCGCGCAGCTGAGTGCACTCCACGGCCTCCCCGAGCGCGTTCACCTCGAACTGAGCGAGTGCGAGCGTGAGAAAGAGAGAGAGAGGCGCGGAGGACAAGCGATTTTAAAGTCCAAAACTTTTCAAGATTTTTTTTTGCCAAGATTTAAGACATTTTCAGGAAAATAGGAAAAAAGATAAAACTTCTCAGCGAGCTTCTTGAAAAGATTCTTGAAAAATTACTGAGATAGTTTCCGGGAACCCGGAGACTAGACAGAGACAAGCGCGGGGTCGCCGACGTACTCACCGTGCCGCAGGCGTGGTAGTGCGCGATGAGGAGGTACGGCATGGTGAAGAGCGTCGAGTACATGACGCCCGCCGTCCACGAGAAGAGGATGACGCCGACCGGGTGCTGGGTGAGCGCCATCAGGAACATGCCCACCGAGTAGAAGAGCAGGCCGCCGACGTACACGCGCCGCGCCCTAGGATCGAGACATCGAGATATCAAGACATCGAGATATATCAGGACATCGAGATTTCAAGACATCGAGACATTGAGCCATCGAGATTTCAAGACATCGAGATATTGAGCCATCAAAACATCGGGATATCGAGACATGGAGATTTCAAGACATCGAGACACCGAGATTTCAAGACATCGAGATAGAGCCATCGAGACATCGAAACACTACTCACCCAAATCTCCGGATGAGCCTCTCGATGACGAGCGAGTAGCAGGCGCAGGAGAGCGAGTACATGGACATGCCCCAGCAGCCGAAGCGCACCCCGGCCTCGTACAGCTCCTTGGACTCGGAGCCGTCGGGCGCCTGCGGCTCGCCGCCGAACACGGCTTCCCCGACGAAGTCCGTGAAGTAGAGCGAGTAGCAGACGTGCGCGCTCCAGCAGAAGAGGTTGGTGAGGCAGACCATGCGCACCGAGTGTGGCATGTACACGATGGAGAGCAGGTACTGGAACAGCGTGGCGGGCTCCTCGGGGTCGGCGGCGGCCGCGGGCCGCGGGGCGCCGGCCGCGCGGGGTAGCGACGACTCCTGCCGGACAGACGCCACGCGTGAGTACGTCCAGGGGGCGATAACACCAACCACTACCAAAAGCAGAAGAGAGCAGAGGGAACGACAACATGCCAGGTCCGCGTCGAAGCTGGTCTCGGCCACGGCGCCATTCGCCTCCCAGGGCCGCGGCGCCCGCAACGGCTGCGACTCGTCGACGGCCAGGTAGTCCGGACGCGACGCATTCTGGAAAAATAGAAATTGTCTCAAAAATTGAATTCAAAATAATTAGAGGGAAATGATTACTTTATTTTTAATTAATTTCTATGAGGAAGCTGCCCGTCAAGGGGAACAAGAAGAAGGTAGCGCCGTCACTAAACAAAGCACAAGATTAGCGCGAGTAGCAGAGGTTAGGTTACGTGTCGTGTAAGATTGATAATAGTTTTGAACGGGCCTATGCATCTAGCACTTTGGTATCACCTGGAGCAATGTTTATTTGGACAATTTAGCCATTGTCGTTGAGATAAAATTGTACCATTGCGATATATCCATAGACTAACCTAGACAAAGACACCGGGACGGTTTTGAAGACTGTGTAAACATACTCTTCCAAAGCCGAAATTTGCAGAATCACTTTTCCACACAACATTGCTAATTCAGTATAATCGAGACCCATTTCTTTTACAAAGTTTACAAAACTTGGTTTATCGAGGGCCAATGATCACACATCCACACGCGCCAAACACAGTATGAACGCCTGTGGTGAACCACCTCTGTTCCAGAGTTGCCAGACGGCGGTGGGCGTTTTTGCCTCCCAGGGCAGCAAAATTTCCCTTTACACACTTTTATTTTGACGGCGTTACACTACGCCACCTCCTCAGAGCTACCTTCCTCTTGTTGCTCTTACTGGGCCGCCTTAGCGTAGTACCTGCCCGGGTGGCCGCGGGTCCCAGGGGGCGGCGTCGCCGGCGGTGTCCCCCGTGGCGCCGTACGAGTGCGCCCCGGGACCGTCGCCGTCGTCCTCCATCTTGCCGTAGCGCGGGCCCGCCATCGAGTCGCGGTGCAGCAGCGGCGCGCGCTGGTTCTGTCGGCCGCGACATTTTAGCACAAGAAAAACGATAAATAACAACCTGACTAAACTACTATGCAATTGACGGCAGTTCAAATGTTTCTGTCATTCGCCGCGCGCATATCTCATTTTTCGACACCGTCTGGTCTCTCTTACGCACCAAGGCCACGACGCTGGGCCGCCGCTCCTGCTCCAGGACGTCGAGGGGCACTTCCTGGAAGCTCGTCACGGTGTAGGCGACGCACGTCACGAAGATGAAGGTGATGAGCGTGAACACGGCCCGCACGTGGCCGCCCAGCATCTCACCTGGAGTGGGGAGTCCCAACAGTCGGTCACACTTCGCGTCGAAAATGTGTCCAAGAATTGTTTGAAAGTTTATTTTGTAATTATTGGTAAAACTGTGAATCAAGGGGGGATCAATTCCGGCAATCTAGTGTGGTACACCCACCCTGGCAATCTGAAACGATAATCTTCGGCAATCTCTACACTGTAAATCCGGGGTGTCCAGCAGCTGTGCGACTTAAAGACGTACATTTGCAGGAGACCTTGTGTTTTTGGCACCCTTTTCCTGCATATAGGGCTGGGCTGCACCAATGAGAGGGCGCCTTGGCGGCTATACGGACTTGAGCCCGCCCAGAGTTGAGCCCGGACCACTGTAGGCCCGACCAATGCCCGATATGAGCCTAGATCCGAGACTGACTCGTCAGCTTTGGTCCTGGCTACGTCCAGCTAGGCTCATATCGGACACTGCTTCGGCCTACAGTGGTCCGGGCTCAACTCCGGGCGGGCTCATGTCCGTATAGCCGCCTTGGCTGGGTGGTAAGCCGCTGTTATGGTTGCTGCTGTCTGTGGTCTGTCTGTTGGTCTGTCCGTTGGTCTGTCTGTTGGTCTGTCTGTTGGTCTGTCTGTTGTTCTGTCTGTAGGTCTGTCTGTTGTTCTGTCTGTTGGGCTGTCTGTTAGGCTGTCTGTTGGGCTGCCTACCCACCGGGCGCCCGCTCGTCGTGACGGCCGGTCGGGCTCCCTCCCCCTTAATCAACCCCTCCCACTTCCTTTCCCTAAGCTCCTCTGTGTTGCACGGCCCCCACGGCCAGACCTCCCCCACCCAGCCCTACCCAGCCCTAATAAAGAGTTTAAGAGAAAGTCGTCCCCTTCTAATTGTGCTAATCTGATTACAAGCCGCGATTGGGTATTAGATGGGGGCCAGGCTTGTTCGTGCAATCACAGCTCCTCAAGCGCCTTATTCGCGACTCAATTAGTCAGACC